ATATGTTTTAGTGCTAGCCATTCTGATATTTTAATATGTAGATTTAAATCCTTAATTCCAGGAAAATTTTCTAGAATTTTATTTCTAAATATTTTTCTATTCCATGATTTGGGGTTTTTTCTTTTGGGGTAACCAGTTAAATATGTTGCATCTCCTTAGTCTATCTTTCATAGCTATCATTTTCCTTCCAGATCATTTTTAATAGTTTTATTGACAAACAATTCACATACCATTAAATTCGTCCAGTCACAATTCAATAATTTTAAGTATATTCAGAGAGTTGTGCAACCATCACACAATCAATTTTAGAATTTTTATCACCCACCCCAAAGAAACCCCATATTGATTAGCAGTCACTCCCCATTCCTGCATGCCCCCCAGCCTTAGGCTAGTTTCTGTTAATCTACTTCTTGTCTCTATGGATTTGCCTATTTTATACATTCCATATAGATGCAATCATACAATACGTGACCTTTTGTGAATTGCTTCTTTCACTTAGCCTAATTTTTCAAGGTTTATCCTGTTGTAGCAGGTATCAGAACTTCGTTCCTTGTTATCAATGAATAGTATTCTATTGTATGGAAGTACCACATTTTGTTTATCCTTTCATTAGGTGATGGGCATTTGGGTTGTTTCCACTGTTTGGCTATTATGAATCATACTGCTGTGAATATTCATATATAAATTTTTGGGTGGATTGTGTTTTTATTTCTCTTGGGTATATACCTAGGAGTAAAACAACTGGGTCATATGGCTGCTCTGTGTTTAACATTTTGAGGAACTGCCAAACTGTTTTTCAAAATGACCACACCATATTTTATTTCCACCAATGTGTGATGGTTCCAATTTCTCTAAATCCTTGCTAACACTTGTTATTATCTGTCTTTATTATAGCCATCCTAGTGGGAGTGAAAGATATCTTATTGTGGCTTAAATTTGCATTTTCCTGATGGTTCATGATGTTGAGTATCTCTGCACGTGTTTATCAGTCATGTGTATATCTTCTTTGCAGAAATCTCTATTCAAATCTCTTGTCCATTTTTAAATCAAGTTATTTGTCTTTGTATTATTGAGTTGTAAATGTTCTTTGTACATTCTGGACACAAGTCACTTGTCAGATATATGATTTACAAACATTTTCTCCCATTCTGTGACTTATCTTTTCACTTTCTTTAGGGTGTCTTTGGAAGCACAGAAATTTTAATTGATGAAGTTCCAATTTATCTATTGTATTATTCTTTAGCTTGTGCATTTGGTGCTCTATTCAAGAAGCCATTGCCTAACTCAAGATCATGAAAATTTACTCCCATGTTCTTATAGGAGTTTTATAGTTTTACCTCTTACATTCAGGTCTATAATCCATTTTATGTTAATTTCATTTTATGGATTGAGGTAGGGGTCCAGCTTCATTCTGGGTGGCTCAGTCGGTTCAGCATCCGACTCTTGATCTCATGAGATTGAGGGTCATGAGATTGTGCCCCCACATGGAGCTCTGTGCCGGTCATGGAGCCTACTTAAAAAAATAAATGAATAAAAGAGTTGAGATGGATAAAAATGAGGACTGTAAAAACTACTTTAGAATTGATGATTAAGAAGTCAATACTGCCTTCAAGAATTCAGTTTTGGGGGTTGTCTGGCTGGCTCGGTAGGAAGAGCTGTGACTCTTGATCTCAGGGTTGTGAGTTTGAGCCCCATGTTGGGTGTAGAGATTACTTTAAAAAAATTCAATTTTGGTTCATCAAGAAGAGTGGAAGCTAATGTCATTATACTGGAGATTCGATCATGAGTATATAAAAATAGCAAGTGCAGAAGTAAAAGAGAGATAAAATTGGAGAGTTAGTGATATGATAGAAGAAAAGAGAAGTTGTATTTTTCTCCCAAATGAAAAAGATTTTACATGTTTGTAAAGAAAGGAAGAAGCCATGGGGGAACATGAGATTGAGGGTAAGGGAATGGTGGAGAAGCAAAGAGGAGAAAGTTGTTTTCCCAGTGCCAGGGAAATTTTGCACAAGAGTTAAGAGGAGAATAGAATATACCCCCTGGGTAGGAGAGAGAATGCTACCATTAGATGAGCAGGGAGCCTCTTCCTTCTGGATCAGAGGGCAGGATGAAGAATTGCATGTGAATACAACTGGAGAAGAGGATGCCACCCCAGGGAGTTCCTGTGAGATGCCCTGGCTCTTCTCAGGAAAACTAGAATTTATTGTGGGAATTTCTAGGAATAATAAAAGATGAATAGAAGTACTGAAGAGCCCCTGCAGAGGCTCCTTCAAGTTGCATGAATCTGTAACAGGCCCACTGGTTATATTTTCATGACCTCTCCAGGAACACTCTCCATGAGAAGTTGGATTAAGGGGCTAATCTAGGTTTAGTCATTGTCTTGGCTCCAGCCAAGAGCATTAAGTGAAAAGCATGTTAGTGAAGTCAGCATTAGAGTGGATAAAAGCATCTTTGGCTAGTGATCTATTATAGCATTCTGAATCCTGACCCTGACTCTTCAACAAAAGGGAGGTGTCCTCCATAGTAATTCTGCAAAGAGAATCACCAGGAATCTAACCTTCCTTGTGTCCCACTCCCTGTTGTCAATCTTATTGTAATGAAATGAGTACAGATTTGTCAGATTGGCCACTGAAGTTGGAAATCATTTATCTGCATCAGTAATTCTGATTAAAGTTCAGCATGTGTGTGTAGTTGGGGGTTAAGTCAAACTCTCTTTAGGGGGAGGAAAAAGGAAAAAAATGTATTGTCCATTGGTCATGGGAAAAGGCAACCCTCTCATGGTGGGTGTTACCACTGGAAGACAGAGGTAATGGCTGCCCAGGAGACAATGAGGTTTTAAATGAAGCGAGTTAGAGAAATGTTTTCCTTTGCAAGAACTAACAAAAGGAAAGTACAGTCAAAAAAAGGAAAGTACAATCAAGTCTTATTTTAACTGGTCAGCGATAGACATATCTATGAAGCCGCTGTGCAAATGTAGGAAAGGGGGTCATCACGCTGCATTACATTGTGCTTTTTTTGGTCATATATATTGATATAGTATACTCACTAGTGACTGTAATATATTTGGATATATGTATATCCAAGTAATAGGTAGATAGATAGTTAGATAAATAGATATCCCAGAATGAATATATATTCAAATATATATTACTTTTTCCTTCTTCTCAAGCAAAATAGAAAAACCCAGAATGAATATAAACATATTCATATATAAATGTATTCATTCTGGGCTTTTCTGTTTTGCTTGGAAAAGAGGAAGAACCTAATTATTTTTATTTCATCCCAAACACCAAGAGCATTGTTGGCTCATCTCTGATACTCATCCAATTATTGCAGTTACCAGTCTGGATGCAGTGGTACCCAGGAAGATATTTTCCCTCATACACTCCCTTATCTCCAACAGAGGATTCACTGGAATAAATTAAACCAAGAATGTGAAGTATTGTGAGGTTTATCTGCTATTTATTGCTGTGTAACTAACAGTCCACTCAAACCTTAGTGTCTTGAAACATCTATAATTCATTATTTGCCATAATTTTGCTGTTGGCTGGCATAGCTGGGTGGCTGTTGTTCTCCATTTGGGCTCATCTGGAGTTGCTCAGGCAGCTGTAGCCATTTGGAGGCGTGAATGGGGCTGGGTGATTCAAGATGGCCTCACATACATGTCTAGTGGTTGGTGCTGGCTCCCAGCTCCCCATGGGGTTCCTAGAAGGGTAGCTGGACCTCTTTGCATGGTGGCTTGGGATTCCAGGAGTGTGAAGTGAAGCTGCAAAGCTTACGGCCTAGGCTCTGGCACCCACACAATGTCACTTATACCTCATGCTGCTGGTCAAAGACAAGCATAAAGCCAACCCAGGGTCACATGTGGGAGCAGACAGGGGCGCCTGGGTGGCTCGCTTGAGCACCCGACTCTTGTTTTGGCTCAGGTCATGCTCTTGGGGTGGTGGGATCGAGCCCCACCTCAGGCTCCATGCTCAGTGGGGGGTTCTGCTTGAGATTCTGTCTTCCTGTCCCTCTGCCCCTCCCCCCACTCGCTCTCTCACTCTCTAAATAAATAAAATCTTTTTTAAAAATGTGGGAGCATCCTGAGCTGCCGCTTACTGATGAGACCAATGGTAAAGATTCTGTGGATGTCTCTAACTCCTCACAAAGGGATTAAACACAATTCCATCTGTAAAATGCGGACTGGTACCTCTGGCCCAAAGCAAATTATTTCAAAAGGTTAATTGCTGCTATTGTTTTTTTTTTTTTAAGATTTTATTTATTTATTTGAGAGAGAGAGAATGAGAGACAGAGAGCATGAGAGGGAGGAGGG